AAATGGTTTTATTTTGAAAATCCTGTTGGCTGTAACTCTCACTCTTGTTGCTTCCTCTTTGTTTTTTCTCTCGTTATGTGGCGTTTGTCTCGTGCTGCGAGTGGGTTGTTTGATTGGACGGTTAGCTAGTGTCGCGAGCAGAAGGAGAGACGCATCGAGGCGTTGGGAGTTCAGTGGAAAGTCCGCGGGGGAGTCGGGAAGGACTCCGTGAAAACACAAAGTTTAAAGCTGTGTGCGTCTTCCTCTTTTGCTCTGCAGGTAAATCGGACACTTACGAGCGGTGCGTGTCAGAGGCGGAGCTCCTGCTGGACCAGTCGATGCGTCTGGAGCAGGCAGGCGAGGTCGCCGCCGCGCTGTCAGCTGTCAATGAAGCTGTCTGTAAGCTCCTCCCACTGCCACTAACCACACTCTCTCCACTTTGAACGCAGCCAGGCAGAAACCTGACGGCCGACTTGCACACACACGAACGCGAGAAGCTGAATCGAGCTTTAAACGATCCGCTCACCCAAACAAACATCGGGATGGTTTTTTGATGACATCATTACTGCGTCTGTATTCGCCGCTGTTTGCTTCACGTGTGTCAGTCAGATGTGAACCATGAGGGTCTGTATCACAGAGTGTTAACTCAGCTCAGGGTTCCAGTCACTTCATCAGATTTGGCTCATTCTGTAGTGGAACAAAGTGAAGACTGTCCTCATTAAAAATAGGCAGGAAATGTCCTCAGTGTGACCCCGCCCCCTGCAGATCCTCTTATGTCCAGCAGAGGCAGCAGTGAGTCTGTCCCCATAAACTCCCATGTTAAACGATAGAGCAGGAATATTCATACTTACAGCCTGATACTAACGGTTTCCCTTCAGAACGCCTGTTTTAAACTTCTGTTAGAGAATAAAGATGAGAGGAAGTAGAAGAAGAAGAGTGTCACTGTATGCAGATGACACAGTGCTGTAAACGGGAGACGTTGAGGGGTCAGAGGTGGACGGGGTCACATTCGACTTCATTTCTGTCAGTAATCTGGAACTCCAAATGGTCCCTCTGTCTTCTGTTGGAAAGAAGTTTAATTCTGAAAGTCATCCATTTATCGAACAGACCATCATCACAGCACGTCCGTTTTTCCTCGCCACAGAGAAAAGCAGCTGGAGTGAATCTAAGAAGCCGTGAGCTCTGCTCCTCTAAACACCTGCAAACATCCCAGAAAAGCACAGAAAGGCTGTTTCACACTGGGCTGCATCACACAGCAGCCTCTGTTATTTACTGGTTCATGTGTGACTTCCTGCGCTGAGGTCACACGTGAACGCGCGGTTCAGCGCCGTCACCCGTAGATGATCAAGCGTGTCGGAGGCGTCCTCGAAGCTGACAGCCGGGTTGTTTTTCTTTGGTTGTGATTCTCTTACTTTAACCTTCTGTCTGGACTTGATTTCTCCATTTCATCGTTAATAACCACGCCACCTTCATGTCAGCAGTGCGATGTTTGATTTCCTGTCAGCTGTGAGTTTTCTTTGTCAGATTGTTTTGCATGAAATCATCATAACGAGTTCTTTTCTGCATCTTTGGTTCATTTTTTATTCTTTTCTCTCTTTCTGTTTTCTTTTCATTTTCCTTCTGTTGTGGATTTTCTGTTGAATCGTGACCCGGCTGCAGCCAAACTGCGGCCGGTGGTGGCTGAGGGCGGAGCTAGTAGCCACAGCCGGCTGCAGCGCTGCATGAGGAGAGCCCGCAGCCTGCAGCAGCGCATGCAACTGCTGCAGCAACAACAGCAGGACTCAGAGGCAGGCAGAGAGAAACCACCGCAGCAGCAGGAGGAGCAGCAGCTCCAGGAACAGCACAGGTACCGCTGCAGCCTGATCAGCCAATCAGAACGCACCAGCAGGTGGCGCCCTGTTACCTTCTGTGTATTAAACCTTGTTATTCCTGATGTGTGAACAGAACCTGTGGAGGTTGGAGGTGTCAATCCTCAGCTGAGCTCAAAACTCCTGACATCTTACCTCCTCATGGGCTGATGTAAGAACCTGACGAGAGCTTCAACCAGAGCAAAAATAAATTGAGAATAAATCGTGCAGTAATTATTAGTCTCGTGCAGTAAACTCACACATGTGGTTCTAATGCGATGATGTGGCGTTATTTTTGTGCCACTAATCTGAGCGCACGTAAGAAAAATTTGCAAGTTTTGCATTTTGAGGAGAAATTTGTTTTGAGCGAAGAAAACTCATCGCTGCGTGCAAAAACTGTGTTTCAGTGTTTGCTATTATCCACACACACAACAGCAGCCCCTCTCGCTCAGTTTTTGCATGTGTTGCTCGCGCTCTCAACATTTCTGCCCGTGTGCGCTCAGCTCTTTCTCTACACCGCTATATTTGTGCCACAAAACCAGCCAATCACAGACTTTGATGCAAAAAATTCTGATTGGCTGTTTTGGTCTCCAATCAGCTTGTTAGCTGCTGTAGCGAAACCCAGGCAAATATCCCAGAATGCATTTCATCCAAAACTCAAACGAGGCAGTGGCGGCGGAACACAGAGTGGCCGAGTTTGAAATATTACTCTGTCTGGGTCACAAAATAAACGTTTAAGATATTTTCAGGTGAGGATGTTGCTGTGTGAACTTCAAATATCTGCTCGATTCATCAAGACGTCACATATTTGCAAAAGTGCTCTAACGTTTCCAGAGATGCCTGTTACCCACCAGCTGACCGGGTGGTCAAGGCGTGGCCCCAGGTATTGACCGGCCCACCAGGTATTACATGAAAAACCATAAAGCCTTTGAACGAAAACAAAGCTGCTGTGACAGTGACGTACACTGTTGTATATATGTATGATTTGTATCACCTTCATGTTTCCAAACCGACATCATGACCAGCAGCTTTGCAGCTGTGGCTCCAGCAAACATCAGCTGATACTAGAAAGTGATATTAAATAAATTCTAACAACAGCTGATCAAGCTTAAACGTGCTGCTGTTGTTTAGCGCGACATCTGCTGGTTTCCTCTTTCTGGCGCAAAGTGATAAACAAACAAGAGAGCCGATCAGCTGATCATTGATCAGTTTCATGATTGAAGTAGAAACAGGAGAGGGAGGGGGAGAATGAGAGAAGAAGAGGCAGCTGTGCAGCAAAGACACAGAGTAACTGCAGCTTTGTGGCTTTTTCCATTGTAGCTGAAGTCCGGGACAAATCGCTTCCCTTTTC